AACAAAACGCCACACCACAATTGGGAGCCTTATAAAGAGACTAATTTTAGGTTCAGGTTACATTCCACAAAAAGTTTGCAGACAAACTATTTCAACTCTAAGCTTCTATGAACAGTAACAAGGATGTGCGTGTGACAAGCAACCCATTTGCCTTACTGTGAATAACACCGTAGGCAAAACGCACAGCTGATACTTTGATAAAATGTAGTGTATTTTAATCAGTCTTCATATTTTGGAGGGTACTTAAGAAGTTGGGAGACTTGGCCAGGGTTCATGTCTAAGAGCTGTTTTACTTGACACATTCTGAGGAGTTATTATTAAATTTGCCTACCACCCTTCACCTGTACACCTCAGGGCAGTTCACAGCATAGAAATACAAGATAAACACACAAAATACATAATAAAAACAAGAACAAAACAAACCAGTAACTCCCCATTATCAGTTCAGTTGAAATGTGTATGTGGTAAGCCAGCTCTGAGTTCTGCAAAGAATTAATGATGGGCTGTTGGCATACCAGTGATCATTCTCAGGGCGGTCAAATTATTCATACCAAGTGGGCCACAGGAGTATTTTGACCTAGAACGCACAGGCCACACACTGCCTTGTTGTGCAGGGTGGGGAGCAAGGCCAAAATTTGACCCCCCTCCCAGCCCTCACAGTGCGCTTTGAGAAAGAGGCACCGGGTTCTGGCAGGGTCCTAGAGTCCTTAAGCCTCTTTCTCAAAGCTGGGAAAGAGCTAACTAAGCTTTGGGAAGAAGGTAGGAGGACTCTAGGTCACTGTCAGAGCCCTCGTGCCTCCTTTACAAAGTCCAGCGCCTCCCTTACTTGGCTTTGGGAAGACAGTGTAAGGGCTGCAGGAGGCATAGGGCCACCAAAAAGGTCTCAAGGGCCGCATGTAGCCCTGGACTACCCTGATTCAGATGATCCAAGAAGCTGAAACTCGGCTGGCGTACAACTACCAGCCTGTACTGAAATAAGCCTAAAAATAAGTGCATATTGGCTCGAAAATGCAAATGAAAGATTTCTTACACTTCCAAGCAACTAAAGTCTTGTTCTCCTGGCCCAGTCTTAAGATGTTTTTCTTGCTCAAAGTTAGTAAAGACTGACACTAGATTTCCTTAGGGCCTATCTTCTAAGTCACTGATAATCCAGAAATGCCAAATTTAGAAGGAATGAAGAACGGTTGAATTTAATGGCTCTCCAGAATTATACTCAAATGCAGTACCACAAAGTGGGAGGGTGGGGAAAGGAAGTGGGATGGTTAGGACAGACTCAATTGTGTTTTTCCTGAACAGAAGTGGGATGGTTATAGTTAGGCCTGAAAAGAAGTGGGGTAACATCTCACACTGCTCCCTTCCAGCATTGTATGACCAATGTCAGAAAATGGGAGTTCCTGAGCCTCTGGTGGGTGGGGGAGGAGAGAGAAAGGCTGAGGGGCTGGGGGAGGTTGGGGGGGGGAGGCGAGAAAGTGAGGAAGAAGGCACTTTCAGGTGAGAAATGGAGAGGGCAGTGCAACTCCAAATACCGATTTCCTCTAACCTTTTATTTATTTACGGTGGTACCTCAGGTTACATACACTTCAGGTTACATACGCTTCAGGTTACAGACTCCACTAACCCAGAAATAGTGCATCAGGTTAAGAACTTTACTTCAGGATGAGAACAGAAATTGTGCTCCGGCGGCGAGGCAGCAGCAGGAGGCCCCATTAGGTAAAGTGGTGCTTCAGGTTAAGAACAGTTTCAGGTTAAGAATGGACCTCCGGAACGAATTAAGTACTTAACCCGAGGTACCATTGCACTTACACACACACACACACCACTCACTCACTCAAGCTAGCTTGAAATTCAACACACAGCCTGAGAGGACAGAAAACAATGTTGGGGGAGAAGTTGTGGAAGAAATATTAACTCACTAATTCCCTAGCCTGCCCTCCCACCCATCTACCCACAAATACATCCCTCATCCACAAGCCAATTACTCAGGAAAATACATTTGGGAGTCTGCGTTTGCTGATCTAATGCGCAGTTCTGGCTTAAAAGCAACTTGTTGCAGTGGTGCTGTTGTTAGTGTTTAGCCCCTTCCACACCCACCATTTGGGCTCACAACGTCAGCTGCATGTCGTTTTCCTCCCATAAGGATCCAAAAGTATAATAACTTTGCATGCTGTTTTGGAAACCCTGTAAGGTATTGGCGCCTTCTGCAGCGCGCAACTTGGGAGCCCCAGAAGGGAAAGAATTAAGCACATTTGCCACCTTCCCCATTACTCCTCTGCTCTAAAGTAACTCTCTTCTTAAAGTTGCTTTCGCTTTTAGAATGGCCTTGAGGCTCAGTCCCACGTGTTTACCTGTAGTGTCTACTAAGTGTCTACTAAGCCCTCCCAAAACAAAAGTGAACAAAATCCCCCCTTTATTCCAGACTAGTCATGCTTTCAATAAAATATTCAAGGTTGTTATTATTGTCACAAGTGAGCAAGTTGGCTATTGAAACCTGTGGGCTTCAGCTGCTACTCTGATACACACAGGGTGAATAAATACAGTCGGGGCACAGATTACTAGAATTAAAATATGCTTGTTCACAGGGTCACAGCTGGAGCAGTGGGGATTGTGGAGGTACAGTGGTGCCTCACAAGACGAAAAGAATCCCGCGATTCTCTTCGTCTAGCGGTTTTTTCGTCTTGCGAAGCAACCCCATTAGCGGCTAAGCGGATTAGCGCTATTAGCGATTTAGCGGCTTAGCGGCTATTAAAGGCTTAGCGGCTAAGCTATTAAAAGGCAATTAACGGCTTAGCGGCTTTGAAAAAGGGGGGGAAGCGGGGGGAAATGGCGAGACTCGCAAGACGTTTTCGTCTTGCGAAGCAAGCCCATAGGGAAATTCGTCTTGCGAAGCGCCTCCGAAACGGAAAACCCTTTCGTCTAGCGGGTTTTTCGTCTTGCGAGGCATTCGTCTTGCGGGGCACCACTGTACCCACAAACCTCTGGATCCCTCTCAACCATACATTCATTTGGGAGAGGTCACATAGTTCATGGTGGCAGAGAATATACTGCACATGCAAAAGGTACCCACATTGAATCCCTGGCATCTTTTATTTTTAAAAAAAATTAGGAAGCCCCTCTCCATTTCTGCAACTCTTTAGTTCTCCACTTCGACACAATAGATAGGGAAATCCAACATTCCTGTTTTTGTAAATGGCTTCCTGTTTATTTGCCGTATTTATTTATTCCAAGAACATTTATTATATCTAAACTTCCTGCTAAAACATCCAGGATGGCTTACGAAATTGAAAAACGATCAAGTCCCGAAGGAAAACAGTGATGAGAAGGTTGTTTGGAGGGTTCTCACTTGTCTGACTTAAAGTGTACCGCTTATGGCTTTATTAAAGTTGCAATCAGTCTGCAGTTCATCTCCATCTGACAACTATCCAAGATGAATATAATTACCGTCCCTGATTTCCCCCCGAAATAGACAGCATCTGACGGTTTGACTAGCAAGAAAGAGGCTTCACAGCTAAAGTTAATGAAACCGCACGGCCAGTCAATTACTGGGTTTCTATAAACGGAGACTAAGACTTGCCTTCCCTGTAGATTACACATCTTAACTCTGTGAGACGCATATAATGTAGCCTTAACTAGTAAGCGATAATGAGCAGACAGGAGACAGAGCGGCTGAAGCCAGCTATCATTAGATTTGTGGAAGGGTGGGGTGGGGTGGGGGGAAACATGCCACCAGACCAGCTTTTTATGAATATTTGATAAAGCAGTCAGCACAATTATACGGCAGTTCTGTAATACCGGCACAATTAGAAAAACAAGCTTTCAAGCAAGAGGACATAACACACTGAAAAGAAGATGCCACCAAACATGCCACCCTGGAATAAAATACAGTCGCTATTGTGTTAGTTGGCAACATTTAAATGCACAATTTGAAAGCAAGCACAATGTTCTGTTCTGTAATCTCCACCCACCCCAATGTTCCCCACCCCTTCCCCCCTTTTTTTGCACAGTCCAGGTTCAGAGTTTGGGAAAATACTGCAAGGCAAAAATACTGCAAGGCAAAAATCAGCAGCCACATTATTTTGTTGATGATTGAGAGAAATGTGGAAATTACTCTTGTGGGTTTCCCCCAATGTTGCTACACTGACTTATTAAACAACATAAAAATAGCAATTTATTTCTACGTTAATCTATAATGTAGACATTTTTTTAAAAAAACAAACAAACAAAAAAAACCCCCAAAAGTAATGGAAAATTTTAAAAAACATGCAGCTTTTAGAATCAACCAGCTAAAAATGGAGGGAGAAAATTGCAAAGGTGGAAACATGATCTAAGAAAGAAAGAAAACATCTTAACCACTACTCTCAACTAAATTTCTATTTCCAGGGGCAGAGAAAAAAAAGGTTTCTAGAAACTAAAATTTCCTTGGTCCTGTTTTCCTTTTAAAAAGGTATGAGTTGAATGCTGGCATATAAAAGCATCTCCCAATATTTTTATTTTTTTGGCTTCCAAGAGCCAAAAAGCATTAGGTGCCCAGAATTTCATAGGGTTAAAAGTAGTGCTACGCAACTCCATCCTTGTTCGTATTAGAATTCAGCATCTTTCTATGATATGCATGTGGGTTACTGCAGCCTGAAGGAAGAGATAGTAGCATATCTTTAAACTCCTGAACTAACAATTGTGCGTTTTGGGATTGGCATCATTCATGACTTGGTTTGAGGTTAAAATGCTCCGTTGATAAGAACATTTCCCTCCAGCCAAAAATGTGCAACTAGTGGGATTGGGAATTCATACAGGTCAGGTTATGTGTAACAAAGGAATCTGAGTGTTTTGTTGGAAAAATAAGTAAATAAAAAATACATTCAGAGTAAGTGGAAAGAATGGCTACTGGCTCTGTGACAGGAGAGTCAAATCTTCATAAACCTGAAAGAGAGGGAAGGGAAAAAAAAGCGACACAAATGCTCCCCTACAAAAGAACAGACCAGATCACAGCTGGAAGGAAGGCAAACCTTTTAATCAGGTCCTTGAAATACAAGCTGCAGGAAGCTAGAACATTTTGGTGGACTTCAAACTCTTTGCCTTCAACAATAATTTTCAGGTCTGTAAACTCTTTCGCTCTGCGTTGCTGGTTCAACTCCTTCAACATTTCTGCAGAACAGAGAAGACAGACAGTGCCAGGATTCCCATTAAGAGGTTTTTTATTATTATTCTTTAGAAATAAATAAATAAATAACAAAACAAAACAAGGAAAGTAGAGAAATTGGAAACGCTTGATATTCTTTGTTGGCAAGAATGGCTCAACGTTGACAGTCAAAGAAATCACAAACATCATACATATTATATAGGCAGACATATGTATATGCTTTATGCAAGCAAGGAACAGTAGGAAATAACTCAAAACCCTACATTTCAAAGAGAGAGGAAAAAACCATTTTCCTGCATCAATAAATTGGAAACAAAATAATACATTACCACGGTTTTTTAAAAAAATATTGTAAAAGGATGCAAGAACAAGTGCTTTATTATCTCCAAACATTAATGGTTTTTAAATGTACTGGAATTAATACTGAATAAAAACATGACACTTATGATGCAGTATGAACTTGACATGTTTCAAAGAAAAAAAATGCAAAGCTTGCAAAAATCCTTCTCTTAGGCATGCTATAAGAAGTCCTTGAGCCTTACATTTAGCAAAATACAATTGCATTAAACCCGAATAACATTTATTCTAAAATCAACCTACCATCGACAACTGGAAAGTTCTCAAAGCAGGAGGGAACACTTCCTCACACATTGAACGTTTAATCAAAAACAACACCCAAAAAATTAATGCCTGCTTTTCGATACCTGCATTTGCATATATTTTTTAAGCCTTGAGTTTTTAGAATTCATTTATGGTAGCAATTCATTTTAACACAAATACACAACCACCTCTTAAGAGTCTTTATTTCTTGCAATAACTCACTTACCGTACATAACCTCTCCAGGCTCTTACCTCCTTTATACTGGGGAGAGCAAATCAGCAACGTGCCTTGTTTGTGATTGTGAACATGATAAGCAACACCATGGCAAATTATTTGCTAAACTAACGTACCAGACTGGCTAGTAAAGTGGACAGAACACGGTTTTGGTAAAAGTGTGTTTCAAATGACTTATTCTGTTGATTTGGTATTTTTTCTACCATTCTTCATTTGCAATAGGCCAAGAGCTTTGTTTTCCTCAGGAACAACCACCTGTATAGTTCCGTTCTCACAACCATCTTTCAAACCTTTTAATTGTTTTTATTCTCCTTAGTTGCAGTCAGTTTTCACTGCTCTACCAGTTATAAAAGGTGGCCTTACACCCAGAGTAGGGAACTTCTGGTCCTCTGTGCCGGATTCCCAACTTCCATCAGCCCCAAATAGCATGGTCAATGGTGAGAGAAGATGAGAGTTCAGCAAGACTTGGTGCGGCGGTGGCCCAAAGGGCCACAATAAATGTGATAACGTGTACCCCTGGAAATTCTTGAGTGCGCTTCTAATAGACAAGTTATGGTAACCTGTTGCTTTATGAAACTGATGATTTTGCAAGTTGCCGCCCCCCATTGGGGCAGGAATACAGCTAAAATGTGAATCACAAAGATGCAAAGCTAGAACATAAATTGCTACATGGTGCAAATGGTTGCATGTAACACAGGTTCCCAACATGCACACTAACACAATGTAACAGCACACAGTGGGAATCAAAGCTTAGTCAACAGAAATTGCTGAGAATCAAACCTGAATCAGCATAAATTGCTAGTGTTTACTGTGCACGTGTATTAAACATAAAATGCGGTAATGATGTACATGACAGGTGAAAACTGAGATGCTTTGTTTGAAACTTTATAAATACCAATGACTGGACCACTGGGCGGGGTTGCGGTTTTGCACAACTATCCGACTGTAACCTATTGCTTTGCAATAAACATTGGACTCCTAACTCCTCACGTTTCTGAGTTTTATTATTGGTGTAAATTCAGAAGATAAGCCATTGGCCACAAGCTCCCCATCCCTGACTTACGTCTGTCACATAAATGTAAACGGACCCAGAAAACAAGGCCAAAAAATTCATGCTTTGTTCGTAATCATGCCACTATCAAAACCATACTCTGCCAAACATTTACAGGGGAAAGAGCAGCAATTAAAAGCTACAACAACAAAAGCTTGCAAACGTAACATATATTGCAACAAAATAAAAAAATTCCTTCCAGTAGCACCTTAGAGACCATCTAAGTTTGTTATTGGTATGAGCTTTCATGTGCATGTACACTTCTTCAGATACACCAAAGCTCATACCAATAACAAACTTAGTTGGTCTCTAAGGTGCTACTGGAAGGATTTTTTTTATTATTTTGTTTCGACTACGGCAGACCAACACGGCTACCTACCTGTAACTTAACATATATTGATACCATTCAAGTGATATCCCAAACCATGCCCAACCTAAACAACAACACCTTTTTCCAAGGCAAAACAGCTAAGTGTCAGCTTGCATGTTTGTGTCAATGTAACGGAATCACAATGGTCTCTGAAAGGCTAATTATTCTGCACTGAAATGGGTCAGTGTTCTCTGGAGAGCAAGCAGATCATTAGAGATGGTACGGAAATAACAGCAGGCCTGTGTCAGATCTATATCAGAGGAAAATAAACCACGGTGTCCTTTGGGTGCTATACAAGCAGCTATTTTTAAAGTATCCATTTGAGTTAAAATGCCGTAACGTGTCTCAAATACACATAAACTTAAAAGAAGGTGAGACAGGGTCAGATGGTGGGAAGCTTTGAAATCAGAATTTAGAAGATTAAACTTTGCTTCAACAAGTTCAATTTAAAGATTTAGCTGGTCCTCACTATAAAGCATTATCACACTTACAATTGTCCCACTGAGCAGTGGACATCGCTTACTGCTGAGAAGTGGAATTAGTTGGCAGATGGAGAAAATAAGATTTTGCTAAACCAACAGGTGAAGGTGGAATAGTTAAAAATACACATGTTGCTGCAAGGAGAGGCTCTGGGTGCATTTCAGTTCATGATATATAACCTGAAAGTGTATTATTTTAAAGCAGAAACCAGAGCAGAGATCACTCAACATGCCATTTTTATTCCTGCCCGCCACCAATTTGGCCAAACTTGTAAACAGACCCTAGATGGGTTGCCTGCAAGGCCTCCAAGAAAGTAGGCAGTTTTTGCAATCTGGAAAATACGTGAAATCTTCTATCATCCCTTTCATGTGCACCAGATCAGGTGACGACTAATACATGTATTACAACAGGGCACACCGTTAATGATTCTTCCTTCCTGCTCCTGGTACTTGTCGCATCTGAAACAGAGCTTATGTCCACACATGCATACATGCTTGTGGTGAGATATGCAAGCAACTTCATCTTGCTTGGGAAGAAAGAGTAGCACTTCTTCAGATGTCATAACCAGGCACAGAGTACAAGAAGTGTGAGCCACTTCCATACCTTGCCTTACTCAGTGCCCACTTCCTATTTCCCATGAAGCAGCGCGGGAAAGGAAGAGCGGCGATTGGGTAAACAGCAGGGTGGGAGGGGCCAGGGGGCACCATAGAGCTAGGGATAGTAAAAGAGGACTTAATATGGAGTTAATTTTCTATGGTGCCGGGGAGGGGGGTGAGGAACAATAGAGATCTCTTAATCTGGGACTTTCCACGATAAAGACAGAATTCGTCGTTACTGAAGTGTGACAATGATTGTCTTGACACATTAGTGACAACTGGAGGGTATGATCCATAATGTATGAATCCACTTTAGTAGGGGTGCCACACATCCGGAAGTTCCCGGAAACATCCGGAATACTGTAGTCGGCAGCAGTGTCCGGGCAGAAATTGGAAAAATATCCGGGAAAATCCGGATATATGGTAGCCCATGTCAGCAGTGCCTTAAAAAAATTTTTTTTGCTGGTTTTCCATGAAAATAGTCCCAAAACAGCATATTTTTTTTGCGATTTTGCCAACAACTTTGGCAAAAAAACCAACAACAAAATGGCAACCCTAACTTTAGGCACATCTGACATTATTAGAATTCTCTATCATTTCCAACCCAATAAATGTTTATCCAATCTCCGCTTAGGACCATTACACGTGGCAATGTCTTTGGGTGGTTTTACTCAGAGGAGATCCACTGAAATAAACAGTCCTAGAAGGTTTATTAATTTCAAAGGGTGTACTCTTGAGTAAAACTTAATATAGCCCTTATTTTTTATTTTTTTTACAAGCACGAAGTAGGCCGATTCCTATTGAAGATGCAGTCTACAGTGAGGGAGAAGCTTACCTCTTTACTGCTTGGGCCTGATTATGTTGGAAACACCATCCTGCAGCTTGGAGCCTTAGAAAAGAAATTCCCACTAGTGTCAGAGGAAACTTGTCTCCAAACAATTCTAGCCCTTTCTGGGAAGGATGGGAGATAGCACTGGAAAGTGAAGACGTCAGCCTCCTCTCACCATGAAATTGGTTTACAATAAGAATTAACTTTCACTGTGCCTATAGTTTAATTACCCTCAAACCAAGACATAGCTACATGCCATGCATTAAATGTAACATGTATTCTGACCCTTAATAAGCAATTAAGAGAAGCCCACTAGCTTCCTTAGGAGTCAGCATGCTAAAACTTTAAACTTATTTCCCCCTCTGTCTGTGCCCCTACTGAACAGTTGTTCCCAGCCTTCATGACGGTGTCTTATAAAGTACTTTAAGGCTGTTGTCTGCTCTGCTTTTTCTCTAAGCTAAGAAACCCTATTCTTTCCTTACCTCATGTGTCATACATCCATCTAATCTCTTCAACAGAAGTCAATTCCATTTATAACTGCCTTAAGAGTGGTGACCAAAATTAGGTACACTACTCCCAACAGAGAACTGAAATCCAGAGGAAACTTCAGGCCTTAAATCACCCTGAAGCTTTTGAAAATGCGAACGTATTAATACTTACAGGATTTGCCAACCACCACACAACAATTCAACTAACAGATTCAAGAACAAAGCCAGGAAACCCAATGGCTAACCTTTTGACAATACAACAGCTAGCATTCTACCCCAAGGAGAATTTAAGACACCAAAATGAAAAGCACAAAACAAATGATTCTTTAAGGTATTCACGCAGCCCCTTATTCCTG